GGTGGCATCCGGGACCTGCAGCTCTGACTGCGATACAAACATCTCGAGCCAGTTCAGACCCTTGGCAGACGGTCGTGAAGAGGGCGGGAGGGAGACACTGTGCTGCTCTTCCTAAACTCTCCATCCCCAAATAGTTCAGTTACCAACCCCCTCCCATTCACGCAACTCTCACCCAGCACGAATTCTTTGCCCTTAGTTTCGATGCCCCGCTCTTCACCCCACCAGCCATTTTTCCCATCTGGCACCCCAGGGTTGATGCCACGCCTTGGCCTCTGTTTCTTGGGCTCCATCCTCCTCTGTCATTCACACGTCTCAGTCTCTTGAAGGATCTGTGGCCTTTCTGTCTCCCTCCTGACCCTGAGGGCCACGCACTCCCCTGGAAAATACAACCACTGCTTCCACCTTGAAGCCACGTCTTTTTTTCTCTGCCAGTGCCCCCCCCCACACCCTCTTTTGGGGCAAAAGCTTCTCGTTTGCCTCTTTCAGGGTGGTCCACGCACAGTTGGTTGCTCAGCCCTGTCTTCCCTCTGGTCCGACTGTCTACCCTTTGACTTCCGAGGCTTTCCGGTTCCCGAATAATACCTCTGTACAGAAGCAGACCCTCAGATGAGCCTTATTTCAGGAATCCCCAAACTTCCAAAAACTTGGGGGATTCCAGAAATATTTGTCCACGAATTTCAGATGTCGAAAACATCTGGGGGGCTCCCTTGCAAAATGGTTGCTGGGCAAGGCAATTATAGGTGCATAAAATGGCTGCTACAGAGGACATATCCTGGGGCAAAAGACAGACCTCCCCCCAGGCCCCTCCTCTCTTTGCCTTTGCCCTTTTCTGGACCAGTAGCCCCAACAAAGCTGGAGGGGTGCGTGTCCCTTGTGTTTCTCATTTGAGGTCCACAGATGTTTTTGGAGATACAGATGATTTGCTTTGCCACATGCCACCATTTTTAAAATTATTGATAGATAGATGATAGATAGATGATAGATAGATGATAGATAAGTGTTTCTCAACCTCAACAACTTTAAGATGTGTGGACTTCAACTCCCAGGATTCTGGGGGCTGAAGTCCACACGTCTTAAAGATGCTGAGGTTGAGAAACACTG